GTCGACATAATCAACGTGGTTTTGGCCTTAATTTTATTATTCTCATTGGTTGAAAAAAAGGCGCCCATGAGAAAAATAAAATTAAGCCCAAAACCACGTTGATTATGTCGACGCCAAAAAAGAAGTGAAGATGTAATTATACGGAACCCGCTGTCGGATTCATCGACAAATTTTGCACCTAGTACCCTATTTTTATCTAATTTGGTTCAGCGCGGAGCAAGCACCAAATTTTCTAATGCATTTTGTAGAATACGTTCGCTCTACAAAACTCAGTGACTCAAGACATTCTGAAGTTAAGTGTCTTGAAATTAGATTTTAATATGTTGGAGGAATACTTCCTATGGTTCACAGTACTTGTACTTTCAGTAAAATTAACTTCACAACTTCTTGAATCACTAAGTTTTGTAGAGCGAACATTTTCCATAAAATGAGACGTCCCGAAGCTCTGACTGACTCTTTATAATAGTCGAGTTATAAAAGGCCCGGATGCTCGAACACCAGTTCTAGAACTGGTGCTTACGTAGTGGTAGTATTGAATGAATGAATGAAATATTGAAATATCTTTCAAATGGATTGCTAAGAGTCACGTCTATTTAGCTACATAATAGTAATTTTGTTCGTTCGAAAATAGCTTTATAGTATCTAAAGTACTTCAAAGAGTTCAAACATTGACAGGAATTACTCCAACTTACTTTGTTTTCAAACTTTATTTCTCTTCGCTCTTTGATTAAACATAAATATTCAGTCATCCATTGGTTTTTGTTTGTGATTATTTTTAGTGCGTATTCATTTTTAAAAAAGAGAAAAAAGACACCTATTTGCCCTTTGAGAAAATTGAGTATACATAGTGTGAACATAAAAAAAGAAGAGAGAAGATAAAACTAAACTGGCTGTGCACATTCAATTTTTCTCTTGGTGGAAAAAAAGAAAAATATAGTTCCTCTTAAACGATACCATACACGTCGAAGAAAAATACATGCGTTAGTACACATTCCAATGATTACAATTTATATTGTACGGACGAATATATAATCATAATCGTTTACAAGATAACCGAAAGAGATGAAAAAATTTCGAAGACAAATAATTCTCACCGTGAAATGTAAAATATTGAAATAATTGAGTCATTGGTTTAACAATAACAGAGTGAGTACAACCATTCTTCAAATAGCTCTATGGACTCTTGATCTTCGCGAAATAATGGGTAATTTTTTTGTCAATTCGGTCTTTTAGAGCTTGAATAAAATTAATCATGGTACAAACTTGGAGTCAGATTCTTTTCTGGTTACTAACTATTCATTCACTAACTGTAATCGCAACAAATCAAACTCGATTGATACTATTGGGTACTGGTGGCGGGTAAGTATTTATTTCTATTTATCTTTTACTGAAACTATAACTATAATGAGACTTTAGACCAACGCCGAAAAGAAATCGTAGTGCCTCATCTCAAGTAATCATCGTCAATAATGTTTCCTACGTGATTGACTGTGGAAATGGCGTTGCCCGTCAGTTAGTATTAGCAAATGTTAAATTCAACTCGATTCGAAACATTTTCATTACGCATCATCACTCGGATCATAATGCAGACTATGGAAATTTACTCTTACTAGCATGGGCAACAGATCTAAATCATCGTGTCGATACTTATGGACCTCGACCGTTGCGTAAGATGACAAAAACGTTTTTGAAATTGAATGAAGAAGATATAAAAATTCGTACAGGTGACGAAGGTCGTATACCATTGAAACCACTCATTAAAGTGCATGACCTGCCCAGCTGTAATGGATTTGTAATGAAAGACGAAAACGTTCGAGTAACAGTCACTTTGGTTACACATCCACCGTTCAAAACGGCATTTGCGTATCGATTTGACACTGTAGATAATCGTTCAATTGTCATTTCCGGTGATACAGCGCCCAGCGAGAATTTGATCACGCTTGCTAAAAATGCCGATATTCTCGTTCATGAAGTAATGCATTTACCATCAATTGAAAAATTGATTGAAACCGAACCCAATTCTTCACGATTGAAACAACATTTACTCGCCAGTCACACAACATGCGAACAAGTGGGAAAAATAGCAAAGGCAGCTAATGTAAAAACATTAGTACTGTCTCATTTTGTTCCTGGCGGTTATCCATTTGTCACGGATGAGATCTGGTTAAACGCAGTACGACCCTATTTTCCTGGTGAAATCATTGTTGGCCACGATCTATTAGAACTTTGAACGATTTGAAAAATTACCTGACATCGTAGTTTTTAGACATGACTTTTTTTAAATTATAAACAAATACGTTTTCTTCGTACTACCTTGATTTATCTCGAAACGTTTCGATTGATAATTCAACCTTCTTCAGTGGATACAAACATTAATTAAAGTAATTCAAATTATATACGCAAAATGGAACAGAAAAACTGTTTTTACAGACAGACGTTTTTCCCTTTTTATTATTATAATATATACAGTCAATAATAAAAAACTGTAGCCTGACAAGCATCTTTAGTTTAGTACTTTTATATCCTATTAAAGGTTTTATTTCCGAAATCGATCACGATAAACTCTTACTTAATCCAACAGACATCTCATTTAGGACAATAAGAAGATAGTTTCTTACAGAAAATCCGAACATTGACATAATTCTTTTGCTAGTTTTTAACTTTATAGAAATAAATCTGAAGTTTGATGGTAGTTAATTTTTTTATTGTCTCTCGTTAGCCAGTGATAGTTGATTTTTCAATGAATTGAAACAGCCATTCTTGTGATTGAATACGAGACTTCCAAGAAGAATATGCAAAGTGAGTAAATTTGGCTCACTATTGAATAGCCAAGACCTTAAGACATGTTTGTGTAAGCAGAAACTTGTTTCAAAATTTTCTGGAAGTCCGCTTTTCTAGAGAATTTTTGAACAACCAGCTCGGTTCTCAGACAACTAACAAATAATGTTAGTAATTCTTTTGCATGCGTAGGTAGTCCCGACGTTACTCTACAAAGTTATGCAAGCCCCAGCTCTCCAGTTATCGTCGTTCGGAAAGGGCTCGCTTTCCCCGAGCACGTGTCTAACTCCCAGTAGACATGTCTGAGAATCTCGAAATGCCATGGAATATAGGTAATCGACTACGCTGAGTATAGTGGCAGCCTTTCCGAACGCGATAACTGAAGAGCTGGGGCCTGCATAACTTTGTAGAGTAACGTCGGGACTACCTACGCATACAGAAGAATTACTAATATTATCTGTTAGTTGTCTGAGAACGGAACTGGTTGTTAAAAGATTGTCTAGAAAAGCCGACTTCCAGAAAATTTGAAACAAGTTTCTGCTTACACAAACATGTCTTAAGGTCTTGGCTGTTCAATAGTGAGAACCGTAGGTCGCTATCTTATGGCTGTGAAAAGTTATTAGCAAAACACTCACGCCCGCTGTGTTTTAAAACGAATAGTAGAAAGGAGATATCAAGAGCATAGTTGTGATATATAGAATCATCAATTCTGATCTTTATTATCTGGGTTATATCTAATCGTTCATACAGGACTTCCTCAGACATGTCCATTTTCTCTTTTTAAGATTCAGTAACCTTAAAACTAAAGAGAAGTATAAGTTCGATCACGCTGATATGCTCATTCTTGATGGGTTTTTCTTTGTGTGAATGCGAATATAATCAAACGTATTAGAAAAATAGACGGAATACATGAACCGAGAGATAATACGACATTTAGTATTTAAAATGGCAAATAATAATTCCGCTATCAAAAACACCGCGTTCTGATTTTGAACTTTTTTTTTGTTTTACATCTTTTGGATCTGATATCCCAGGAGGTAATCGATCAGTCACAATCTCACAGTAATATTTACTTTTTGAGAAACATTTAAAAATCTGGGGAAAAGCAAGTTTTACGAAAATTTGGATTTTTTGACTTTAGTGAATATATGCTACAGTGCTTGATATGATAAAAGCTACAGCAGACACGTTAATGAATCAGCTGATATGTCAATGTGAATAATATGCCGTAGAAGATACGTAGACAGCTATGAGTTTCTAGATCTTCTAATTTTGTCTGTTCCCTGTTTGACTCAGTCGACTTTCCAGTCTTCCCGAAGGGTAGTTGGTCTCTAGTTATATAATCTTTCTTCGTCGTAAAGTCGTGTGCAGAGTAAGATTTTTATTAAGAGAACTATTTGCATATACTCAAAAATGGATGTCTGTTTGCTTAGCTTTATGAACTGCTTACATTACATCGAGTTTGAAACATGCGTTCTCTTCTCTCTGAAAAAAAATATTTATTTTTATAAGATAAAGGTAAGTGAATCTTACCTTCACCTTTAAAAAATAAAGGTAAAATAAAGATTTTATTTTTTCTATTATCAAGTGAATTAACAAGCAGGGAAATCTTAGTATGTCAGCGTTGAAGCTCTCACCTTCACCTCAAATTATGAGCTTTCCTCTTCAATTGTCTGAATAAGTGTTTTTAAGAAATGATAAATTATCCGGATCAACTAAAAGTAACGTAGCTCGAAAGGTGGAGGCTGAATAGAATAAGCACAGTGAGTTTCGTGAGAAAAATTCCACTTATAGGCGAATACCAACCATTTATTTCATCTTTATTTCTTTATTTTTTGGAATTATGGCTATATTACAGTTGTTTCCAATGAGGAACATCTTCTAAATAAAGTACGTTGTCTGAATGAGAACAAACTCTGTGGTCTTAAAGCATTTCACATTTATTGCACATATTCCATGAAATAAAATATTTATTTCTTTATTTTACTTTTACGTTTTAAAAATAATTTCTTTTCCATTTATTTCTATTTATAATTACTTAATTATACATAATGAATTTTTTATTTTTATCCATTATTATAAATGAATAATAAAACTAAACTACTATCAACTACTTACAATACATCGAGGTTGAAACATGCGTTGTCTACCGTCTAAAGCAACTATTTTTAGAAACTATCGAGTTTAAAATTGCTATGAATATCATTACAGATTTTATTTAAAAATCATTTTATTGGTTTATTTGAACCTTCGATAAGATACACAAGGAACAAGAAAAAATTGAATAACAAACCGTGGTTTAATAGATAGAAAGATAAGAAAGAACCGAATAAAGATTATGACTTAATTAATCGATCAAAACAGAAGAAAGAGACTAATAATTATTATTTCTGTAAAAATATTGAATTTAGATTTATGTTATTCAATGATTTTCCATATGTCACCTGTGTAAACAGAATTTCTTATGGATATCTTCCCGTCATTTTGGGCTTTCCGTAGAAATACTGTGAAATAAAAACCAAAAGGCACTAGGGCTTCATATTTTCAGAACTGACTGAAAACTCAATGAAGCCCTTTCGCTTTTGTTCGTAGTTTTTAACTATTGTCGTTCATCAGTTTTCCAGAAAACTCGGTTTTTCATTCGGTCATATTAAGATCCATCCTTAAATTTCGTCTGATCGCGTTAAAAAAGGTACTCAAGGTCATAGTGCAGAGGTATACTTTTGGGATGCTCTTTTATACCTTTCTTTCTCTAGCGAGTTATAGGGTATTTGAAATTGAAAAACTGAGTTTTTGAGACCTTTTTAGTATTTTTCCTATAACTCGGTAAAGATCTAAAAGAAAATTCCAAAATTAAACCTCTGCACTGTGACCTTGAGTACCTATGGTGAAATTTTTAACTCGATCAAATGAAATTCAAGGGGGTGTCTTAAGGGTACCCTCGTCTTTTTTTACCCTCTTGGAAACTAAGGAAGCCGATGTCGGATCTGGTTCTAATTTATATGCGAGACAGAACATCGAAAAAGAAAATCGATGTATTTTTGCCCAGAATTTTCTGACGTGTTCTTCTATAGGTTTTCTGGAAAAACCTATAGAACAACACAAAAACCTCCCGCGGAAACTTGAAGTCGAAAACGCTTTTTAAAAGAAATGAACCTGAGATCAGGGTCTGAAGTATCTGTGGCAAAATTTTGAGCTCCATCGGACCATTTTTTCGAGGTGTCGTAATGTGTGCTATTGAAGGGACTATTGAAGAAATGCATAGTAAGACAGACACATATTGTACACAGGGCCCTGTTTTTCGGGGCATTTGTGACTATGCTTATGTCTCTAAGAAAACTCATCGGAAGACTCTGGAAAATATTTCATTTGGAAGAGCATACTTTCTTCTATCGTGCAATATATAAGAAAAAATTCTGAATATATAGGAAAGGAGAGAAAAGTTTACGAACCTAAAAAGTTGAGATTTTCAAGGCTTTGAAGGAAAAACTTAAAAATTTCTTAATTTTTTTTAAGGAACGTCCTGAAGAACTGGAAGTGGTCTCATTTTATAGCCCAGACTTTCCTCTACGTTAGACCATGTTCAGCTCAAAATGACAACTTTTCTGCAAAAAAGAGAGGGGAAGGGAGGTACCTTTAATGTGTCTAACGAAAAACCGAGTTCTCTGAAAAACTAGTGAATGACATTAGTTAAAAACTAGAAATAAAAGCGAAAAAGTGCTTCATTGAGTTTCCAATCAGTTTTGAAAAAATGAAGTCGTAGTGACTTTTAGTTTTTATTTCACAGCATTTCTACAGCAAGTCCAAAATGAGGGGAGGGAGAGGTGCCCTTAATGATTCGACATCCCTAATTAGTTTCGAGAGACAGATCTTGCAACATCGAATGAATGTTTTTCCTCATTAGCATATCTGGCAATATTAGATGATTTGGCTGATTTTTTAATGTCAGATTCATGTTCTTTCATCGTTGTTATTTCCTTATTAGTTATATTCACCTTAGTTATTTTCTTCTGTTTGATGAAACACGTAGAAAGAAAATAACAAAGATGAAAGAACATGAATCTAACATTAAAAAGTCTACCGAATCATCTAATATTGCTCGATATCATAATGAGACGAAACGTTCATTCACTTTAGCAAGAACTGTCTCTCGAAATGAATTGCTGAAAAAGAATTGTTAAGGAAGCCTATTTACACAGGAAACATATGGAAAATCATTGAACGACATAAATTTAATATTTTTACAGAAATAATAATTATTAGTCTCTTTCTTCTTTTTTGATCTATTAATTAAGCTATAATCTTTATTCGATTCTTTCTTATCTTTCTATCTATTAAAATCTAGAATTTCTTACGTCTAAACATATTTTGTCTTTTACAAAACATCATTGTAGACATTTCTGATTTAGATAACTAACTATGGCCGATAAACACAGCAAAAGTTCATTAAGT